GTGTTCTATGTTCCCTTTCCCCCCTTGAGTTGTTTGCCGTCCTGAGTCCCTCCCGGAAAAGGGCGGCATACAAATAAAATAAATCTAAATCTAAAAAATGTCTTTTAAAAAGGCTGAACTCGCCTCGCGTACCCTGACAAATGGCTCCACGTGCCACTTGTGGCATGCGTCCCATAGGTTCGCCATCCCGGACCTATACTGTATCTGTGCCTTTAGGTTTTTTTTTGCCTAAATGTAAAACCTTACTTCACAACCGTCTCACTTAGCAGTGAATTTTTTTTTTGTCGAGGACTTCCTGTACAGAAGAAAAACAAATGGACCTACAAGGTCAAAGAAATCACTGTGGTGCTAAATGTGAATAAAAAGGCATTTCTTTCTTCCGGTTCGCAGGTGGAGGTGGTCTTCTGGCTGCTTTCCATGCTGGCCACCCGCGACAAGGAGGACATGTCACGCACTCTGCTGGCCATGTCCAGTTCCCAGGAAAGCTGCCTGGCCATGCGGAAGTCGGGATGCCTCCCTCTGCTCATCCAGATTCTCCATGACTCAGACCGGGAACCGAGCGCCCCCAACAGCCCCGGAGCCGCAGGGAAGGACTGTCGCATGCGCGCTAACGCTGCCCTCCACAACATCATCTTCTCTCAGCCCGACGAGGGACAGGCCAAGAAGGAGATGCGGGTGTTACATGTGCTGGAACAGATCCGCTCCTACTCCGAGACCTGCTGGGACTGGCTCAGGATGCAGAAGGAAGGGGCCAAGATCCCCGAGGGGGGAGCAGGTAGAGGGAGGATTGGGGCTACCTATCCAGACTTTGCAGGTACTCTTAAAGCAGGGGGTGGATCCAGCCCACGGGGCGCTGAGATCTGGCCCGCGAGGCCACCTTGGAAACAGCGAAGGACCATCCCGCGGTGCTTCCGCCAGTGAAAATGGAGCTCTGGAGAACCGCGAGTGGCTCCATTTTCCCTGGCAGAGGGTTACAGGCGGCCATCGCAGCTGAAAACGGAGCTTGGAGCCCGTTTTCACTAGCAGAGTGCTCTGGCCACCACAAGCGCTCCCGACACGAGTGATGTCGAGCTGGCTGGCCACGCCCACCCCAGCCTGCATTTATTTCCCTGGAAATTCATTCCTACTCCCCCACCCTTCAAAGGCTGTTCATCCCAAATTGTATAGCTAACAGTCTGTAAAAAAAAAAATTGCAGACTACAGGAAGCATTTGCACCACTCAGGTGACCCTGAGGACACAGATAAACCTCCAGGGGGCCTCAACAACCCTCTCAAAAGGATGCAAATGACCAGCTGTCTGCAAGGAATATCAGTCCTTCCCTTCCCCACTATCCTGTCAGAGCTGAAGAAGCTTCTGAGATGAGAAGTGAAACGTCTTCAAAAGAAAAAAAACCAGAAAGTCCAGTTGCCACCTGAAAAAAGCATCTTTGGGGACTGTTTTTGCTTGTTCTCTATTGCTCATGAAGACTAGCTGGAGAAGTTAGCAGTTAGCAGTTAGACTTATATACCGCTTCATAGGGCTTTCAGCCCTCTCTAAGCGGTTTACAGAGTCAGCATATCGCCCCCACAGTCT